TTTTTTTTTTGAGACAGACTCTCACTCTGTTGCCCAGGATGGGATTCCATGGTACAATCACAGCTCACTGCAGCCTCGAACTCCTGGGCTCAAGGAATCCTGCCACCTCAGCCTCCCAAGTAGCTGGGACTATGGGTGCACGCCACCATGACCAGTTAATTTTTTGAGATGTCTTGCTCTGTCACCAGACCAGAATGCAGTGGTGTGACCTCGGCTCACTGCAACCTCTGCCTCCTGGGTTCAAGTGATTCCCCTACCTCAGCCTCCCAAGTAGCTGGGACTAAGGCATGTGCCACCACGCCCTGCTAAGTTTTTGTATTTTAGTAGAGATGGGGTTTCACCATGTTGGCCAGGATGGTCTTGATCTCTTGACCTTGTGATCCGCCCGCCTCGACCTCCCAAAGTGCTGGGATTACAGGTATGAGCCACCGCGCTGGCCAGTTTTTAAATTTTTTTAGAGACAGGGTCTCCCTATGTTGCCTAGGCTGGTCTCAAATTCCTGGCCTCAAGTAGTCCTCCTGCCTCAGTCTCCCAATCCCTTTTGGGATTACAGGCGTGAGCCACTGAGCCTGCTCTAACTGATATCTTTCCAAATTCAACTATTTGGTTTAGGATTAAGAAATGGCTAAGGTTATGAATTAATGATGTATTAATGACAGAGTATATAAGTAATGTATTTATTAATGACGGAATGTACATATTAATGACAGAATTTAGAGTCAGGAATGGAAATGGAGAAAGAGTTGGACTTGGGATGAAAAATTAGGTTAAGTATTAGGACAGAGTTACAGTGATATTTAAGGTTAAGTTTGGTTTATAGTAAAGAACACACATGGCGGATGATTAAGGCTAGAATAAAATTAAGGTTTAGATGGAATTAGGATTGGTTGAGTGCTAAGGGAAGAACAGAATTAAGATTTTTATGCAAAAGTAAGCATGCTGGCCAGACCCGGTGGCTCACTAGGTCAGGAGTTCAAGACCAGCCTGGCCCAGCAATTCTCTACTAAAAAATACAAAAGTTAGCTGGGCATGGTGGCACACACCTGTAATTCCAGCTACTCGGGATGCTGAGGTAGAAAACTGCTTGAACCCAGGAGGCGGAGGTTGCAGTGAGCCGAGATCACACCACTACAATCCAGCCTGAGCAATACAGTGAGACCCTGTCTCAAAAATAAAATAAAGTAAAATAAGGAAGGAAGAAAGGAAGGAAGGAAGGAAGGAAGGGAGGGAGGGAGGGAGGGAGGGAGGGAGGAAGGGAAGGGAGAAGAGAAAGAAGAACGAAAGAAAGAAAGAGAGAGAGGAAGGAAGGAAGGGAGGGAGGGAAGGAGAGAAAGAGAGAGAGAGAAAGAGAGAAAGGCTGGGAATCATGGCTCTCACGCCTGTAATCCCAGGACTTTGGGAGGCCAAGGTGAGGGGATCACAAGGTCAGGAAATCGAGACCATCCTGGCTAACACAGTGAAACCCCGTCTCTACGAAAAATATAAAAAATTACCCAGGTGTGGGGGCAGGCACCTGTAGTCCCAGCTACTCAGGAGGCTGAAGCAGGAGAAGCGCTTGAACCCCGGAGGCAGAAGTTGCAGTGAGCCGAGATCACATCACTGCACTCCGGCCTGGGCAACAGAGTGAGACTCTGTCAAAAAAAAAAAAAAGAGAAGAAAGAAGGAAACAAAGACAGAGAGAGAGAGGGGAGGAAGAAGAAAGGAAGGTAGGGAGGGAGGGAGGGAAGAAAGAGAGGCAGGTTGGGTTCGTCAGTGGGTTCATCTGGCTATTGTCAGTTCTAGAAACAGAAATACTCAGTAGCCAATATCAGGACGGCAGCTCATTGTTTCAGTTCTCAGGACCCCTGTCTTTTCATGCTGGATTGGGACTGGGAGAATAGCCTCAGGACAGTCCTGTCTGTAGTTGTCACAGTGAACTCTCTGAGCAGACGGTTGGCGCCTGTAAGTATTTCCCCCTGGGTGCTCTGGTCGCTACCCTGCCCAGCCTCCCCTCAGGAGGATTCCTACTGTCCACTCACCCTCCCGCTACCCACCCCCTCCCTGCTACAGGAGCTCACCACTGGTTTCACAGAATTTCCACTACTGTTGCTCATCGAAGACGGAGGTGACTGAGCACCACAGACTGCCTAAGAAGCTCCCCTGGGAGATGCAGCTGTTATAGGCCTTTCCTCGATAGATGAAAGGGAAGATACAGCGTGGGTAGTCTGTTAGGAACGGAGCTCATGAATGGCTCAACTTCCTGTCATCATTCACAGTACAGAGTCATTTAATCATCAGTCAACTAATCAATCAATCAGCCATCACAGGACAGGACAGATATAAGTTTCAGAAGAGACTTTATGCAATATTTCATCCAGCATTTGCCTATGCCATATACATCTGATTCTTGAACAACACGAGTTCGAACTCGGGTCTGCTTATACATGAGGTTTTGTTTGTTTGTTTTTGAGACACAGTCTCACTCTGTCACCCAGGCTGGAGTGCAATGGTGCAAACTGGGCTCACTGCAACCTCCACCTCCCAGGTTCAAGCAATTCTCCTGCCTCAGCCTCCTGAGTAGCTGGGATTACAGGTGCCCACCGCCACACCCGGCTAATTTTTAAAATTTTTTAGTAGAGATGGGTGTCACCATGTTGGCCAGGACGGTCCTGATCTCTTGACCTCATGATCCACCTGTCTCAACCTCCCAAAGTGCTGTGATTACAGGCCTGAGCCACCACGCCCAGCCTCCCAAAGCTTTTTCTATGCACACATATGTATTATAATTCATCTGCAAGAAGTGATCATGTCATACACAGGCACACATTCTCTTTCACAATCCACCCTATTCAAAGCCCCCTGGCCAGGGATAGCAGGATGCCACTCACCTTCACTCTGGCAGTACTTCCATCGGCCATTGTACACCGCTCTGGTGGCACACCAAGGGGATAAGCTAAGAATTTTGGTGCAAGTGAAGTAAACAGATCCCTGGTAGGTGAAAGGAAAGACACATTCCTCGTTCCTCCCTGAAGGGCAGAAAGACAGAACAGGAGCGGGGAAGAATCACAATGAATTAGCAAAGGATGAGTCTTGGTTTGGCTCTTGCTTTGATCTGAACGTCTGTGTCCCCCCAAAATTCACGTGTTAAAATCCTAACCCCCACGGTCATGGTATGAAGGGGCCTTTGGAAGGTGACTAGGTCATAAGGGCAGAGCCTTCATGATTGGGATAAGACTCCTTTTAAGAGACCCCAGAGAGCTAGCTGGCCCCTTCCACAATGTGAGAATACAGTGAGGAGGCACCATCTGTGAACCAGGAAGCAGGCCCTCATCAGCAGCTGAAAGTGCTGGTGCGTTGCCCTTGGACTTCTCAGCTCCAGAACTGGGAGACAGAAATTTCTATTGTTTATAAGCTGCTCAGTCAATGGTACTTTTTCAACTGTGTTGTATTGTACTGTATTGCACTGTTCTGTATTGTATGGTACTGTATTGTACTCTGCTGTACTATACTATATCATATTGTACTGTGCTGTACTGTGTTATACTGTACTGTATTGTATTGTATTAAAATATGCTATACTGTGCTGTATTGTGCTGTGCTGTATTGTATCTGTGCTGTATTGTGCTGTGCTGCATTGTGCTGTCCTGTATTGTGCTGTGCTGTATTGTATCTGTGCTGCATTGTGCTGTGCTGTATTGT